CAATTACATAGGCAACAACACACACACAACACAATCACATGGCAGGGCAAAATTGCAACCTCTCAATTTTAACTCTCAACACAAATGGTCTAAATTCACCAATCAAAAGACAGAGATTAATAGAATGGATCATCAAACAAGACCCAACCATCTGTTGCCTACAAGAAACGCATCTAACCAGAAAGGATGCAAAGAAACTGAAAGTGAAGGGATGGAAAAAGATATTTCACGCCAATAGACGAGAAAAAAAAGCTGAGGTAGCTATCCTAATTTCAGACGAGATAGATTTCATTCTAACTAACATCAAAAGAGACAGGGAAGGCCACTTTATACTGGTGAAAGGAAAGATCCATCAAGAAGCAATCACCATCATTAATGTTTATGCACCGAATCTTAATGCACCTACTTACGTAAAGCAATTACTTACAGACTTAAGGGAAGACATAGACACCCGCACAATTCTTGTAGGTGATCTCAACACACCTCTAACAACAATGGACCGGTCTACGAAACAAAAACTCAACAAAGAAACAACAGAGCTCACACAAACAATAGAACAACTGGACTTAGTAGACATATATAGAACTTTTTATCCTAAGGCCACAGACTATACCTTCTTCTCAGCGGTGCATGGCACCTTCTCCAGAATCGACCACATGATAGGACATAAAGCGAATCTAAACAACTTCCAAAACATTAGTATCATACCATGTACCCTCTCAGACCACCATGGGATGAAACTGGAAATCAACAACTCAAAACTCCCCAGGAAGTATAGGCACTCTTGGAAATTGAACAATATGCTATTAAACGAACAATGGGTCAGAGAAGAAATTAAAGATGAGATCAAAAAATTTATGGAAACCAATGAAAACTCTGATACAACATTCCAAAACTTGTGGGACACTGCCAAAGCAGTGCTACGAGGTAGATTCATCGCAATCGGAGCGCATGTCAAGGCCCAAGAAAGACGCCAAATACAGGAACTAACCTCACACCTCCAGGATCTGGAAAAACAGCAGCAGAAGAGTCCCACGCACAATAGGAAACAAGAAATCATCAAAACAAGGGAGGAGATAAACCAAATAGAAATCAAAAAAACTATACATAAAATCAACAAATCAAAAAGTTGGTTTTTTGAGAAAATAAACAAAATAGACACTCCACTGGCCCGATTGACCAAAAAAAAAAAACAAGAGAAAGTGAGAATCAATAGCATTAAAGATGAAAAAGGCAACATAACAACAGACACTGCAATCATTAAGAAAATAATTAGAAATTACTACAAAGAACTGTACTCCCACAAATTTGAGGACCACCAAGAAATAGAAAAGTTCTTGGACTCCCACCACCTACCAAAACTCAGTCCGGAGGCAACTGCAGAATTAAATAAACCCATAACCGAGGTAGAGATTGAAACAGTCATCAAGGATCTCCCAACGAAAAAAAGCCCAGGCCCAGACGGCTTCACTACAGAATTCTACAAAACATTCCGAACAGAACTAACCCCAATCCTCTACAAGCTCTTCAAAACAATAGAGGAGGAAGCAACCCTCCCAAACTCATTCTATGAAGCCAACATCACCTTAATCCCAAAACCGGACAGAGAACCATCAGAGAAGGAAAACTACAGACCTATTTCTCTGATGAACATTGATGCTAAAATTCTCAACAAAATCCTAGCCAATAGAATTCAAAAAATCATCAGACAGATCATTCATCCGGATCAAGTAGGATTCATCCCTGGAATGCAGGGATGGTTCAACATTCGGAAATCCATAAATGTTATAAACCATATCCAAAAACTGCAAAACAAGAACCACATAATAGTTTCAATAGATGCAGAAAAAGCCTTCGACAAAATCCAACACCTCTTCATGCTAAAAACTCTAGCCAAAGTAGGCATAGACGGGAAAATCCACAACATAATCAAAGCAATTTATGAAAAACCCAACGCCAGTATCATACTGAATGGAGAAAAGCTAGAACCCTTCCCACTGCGATCTGGAACAAGACAAGGGTGCCCGCTATCACCACTGCTATTCAACATAGTCCTAGAGGTACTTGCAGAGGCCATAAGACAAGAAAAAGAAATCAAAGGCATACGTATAGGAAACGAAGAAGTCAAGCTTTCACTATATGCAGATGACATAATCCTGTACATAGAAAAACCAGGAGACTCAATACAGAAACTGCTAGAACTTATACGAGAGTTTGGCAGAGTGGCGGGGTACAAAATTAACGAATGAAAATCAACAGCCATAGTGTACGCAAATAACACCAAGATGGAAGAAGATCTAACCAACAGGATACCATTCAAAATAGCTGAGAGAAGTATGAAGTATTTGGGAATAAATCTAACCAAAAGCGTAGGAGACCTATTCGAAGAAAACTACAAACTATTTAAAAAGGAAATTGAACAAAACCTCAAAAGATGGAACAACATCCCGTGCTCCTGGATAGGCAAAATCAATATCATTAAAATGTCTATACTGCCACAAGCAATATACATTTTCAATGCAATTCCAATCAAATTGCCCAAAACATTCTTCACGGAACTGGATACAATGATTCAAAAGTTCATCTGGAAACACAAAAAACCACGAATAGCTAGAACCATCCTGAAAAATAAGAAGTTAGCAGGGGGAATCACAATCCCGGACCTCTGGACATACTATAGAGCAGTGGTTATCAAAACAGCCTGGTACTGGCACAAAGACAGAAAGGAAGATCAATGGAATAGAATAGAAGCTCCAAAAGGGAACCCACACAAATACAACCAATTAATCTTTGACAAAAAGACCAATGACAACTCAAGCAAGTGGGAAGGCCTCTTTAGTAAATGTTGTTGGGACAACTGGCTGATAGCCTGTAGAAACAAAAAGATAGACCCACATCTATCACCATACACCAAGATCCAATCTACATGGATAAAAGACCTAAACCTACATCCAGAAACCTTCAAACTCTTGCAAGAAAATGTAGGAAATACCCTGCAAGACCTAGGAGTAGGTCCCAACTTTCTAAGAAGGACACCAAAAGCAATAGCAGTTGAGAACAGAATAAACAAATGGGACCTCATCAAACTAAGAAGCTTCTGTACAGCAAGGGAAACAATCAACAAAGTAAAAAAGCAACCCACAGAGTGGGAGAAGATCTTTGCACACGATATAGGCGATAGGGGGCTAATTTCCAGGATATACAAAGAACTTCAAAACAACCAAAAAACCAAAACGAACAAGCCACTCAAGAAATGGGCACGGGAAATGGGCAAACATTTCACAAAGGAACAAATCCAAATGGCAAACAAACATATGAAAAAATGTTCCAGCTCCCTAGCAATAAGGGAAATCCAAATTAAAACATCGATGAGGTACCACCTAACACCAGCAAGATTGGCCCACATAAACAAGAACACCAACGACGCCTGCTGGCGAGGATGTGGGGAAAAGGGAACCCTACTCCACTGCTGGTGGAGCTGCAAATTGGTACAGCCTCTATGGAAATCAGTCTGGAGAACACTCAAACAACTCAAAATCTGCATACCATATGACCCAGCAATAGCACTCCTAGGAATATATCCAAAACACCTGTTTTACGACAAACCAACATGCATCCCTATGTTCATTGCAGCACAATCAGTAATTGCAAAAACATGGAAGCAACCAAAATGCCCATCAGCAGAAGATTGGATAAGAAAGCTTTGGTTCATCTACTCCATGGAATACTACTCAGCTATTAAAAAAAACAAAATGCAGTTCTTTGTGGCTAAATGGGCACAACTGGAAACTATAATGCTAAGGGAAATGAGTGAATCCCAAAAGATTAGATACCACATGTTTGCCTTGATTTAACGTGTAATTTTTGTTTGGTTGTTTGTTATTTTTTGAACCTGTCATTGATACTGTCTCAACCCAGATGTCTCGAAGAATGGAACTTGCATTATTTTTAACATATTGTTTACCCAATACTATGTCAATTAATTCCATAATGTTGTATAATGATACTGAGGCCTTGTTGGGGCTTTTAACTGACCGGATCTTTACTCTGTTAGACCTATCTTCAGACCATAGAAGGTCTCCCCAAGAGGCCACTGAACTTATCTGGACAATAGGACACGGAACTTTATGCTAGGCATGTGTTTGCAAGCAATGAATCTCAACTGAACTTGATCTATGGTTATGCAACAAGGTGGAGGAATCCACCATGGGGGGAGGGGTGTGGGAGGGGTGGGGGGAATCCCCAGCGCCTATGGAGCTGTACTACATAATACAATGTAAGCAACAATAATAAAAAAAAAAAAAAAAAAGAACCTTTTTGAATGCGTATTTGATGGCATGAAAATGTGCTTCCTAAATTTCAAATCACTCCAGAGCTGAAGATTTAAATATTTAGTTGTTTTAGAAAAAGAACTGTATTTGTTTGAAAGAGTTAAAGAAAGAAAGGGAAGAACAGAGATGAAGGAAAGAAAGAGAGAGAGAGAGATCTTCCAGGTGCTGGTTCACTCCCCAGATTTCCACAATGGACAGAGCTGAGTTAGACCAAAGCCACGAGCCAGTAGCTTCGCATGGGTCTCCAATAAACGTGGCAGGAATCCACACTTCGGGTCATCTTCTGCTGCTTTTCCCAGATCATTAGCAGGGAGCTAGATGGGAGGCGCGGGGTGTGTGTGTTTTCTCAGTAACTGGCTTTTTAACATCGCAGTTGGAACACAGTGGAACTCTCTCACTGAAGATGCTAAAATGGAGTCTGACCACCCTATTGCAAAAGGTGCCGAGGAGATTTTCAACACTAAATTTGTTATTCTGTCAGCAGGCTTTTATGATTTCTTCTTAATCTACAAAATCAAGAATTTGGAGAAAATCTCCTTTCACTTGTTATCTGTTGATATATTAAGCTGTTTTCAGCCATTGAAGAATATATCCATTGTCTTTAGTAGTTTTTCTCACGTGTGTAAAACTATTGGTCACTTCTGTTAACGCTGTGTTTTATTTCTTTAGGTACCTGAACACACACAGTTAAGTTGGATCCTTACCTGCATGGTCAGATTGCCTCGGTTACAGCATTTACACCAGTGGAAGGTAAATGCCAGTGATCTAATTAATAAATAGAAGGAAAAGTGTTTTTGTTTATTTTCTGTTAAAGTGGGGGGGGGCGGAGGATCATGAATTTCTTCTCCTTCTAATCTGTCTCCCAACCACTGCCATGCTACCTCCTAATGGTTAAAATAGCATCTGTTTTTAAAAAATTAATCATTTTTAGTATTATTTTCCATTAGTTGTAGGTGTAGGGATTCCCCCTTCCACCTGCCTTTCCTCCCCCCTCATTTTCCATCTCCCAATGATTTCCCCCATATTACTACAATAGTATAATTACGATGGTATTATAGGTACAGGCAGGGGTAGAAAATCTGTCGTATTGTCAAGGTATATGTAACAGTTTCATTGGGAGTCCTCCTTCTGTTCAGGAGTGGAGATGCATACTGTAGCATATCTTCACTTCCCGTATGCTAGTCTCCATTATACAATTCATCTATGAGACTATATGTACATACATGTTTACCTATATACCTATTTCTTTTGTATTTTGCATGAAGATTGCCCTCTATCAGAAGAAAATATATTTGTTCTTTTGGGACAAAACTCTCTAGTTGGGAACACTTTGTTACAAATGGTAGAATTCCATTCTTTTTATTGGCTTGACTATATTCTATAGAGTAGATGTACCACAGCTTCTGTACCCACTTCTCTTTCAGTGAACATTTGGGTTGTTTCCATTTCTTCACTATTGTGGATTGTGCTGCTCCAAATATAGGACTACTGGTCACTTTTTCATATGAAAATTTCATTTCCTTTGGATACATTCCCAGGAGAGGGAAAGCTGAGTCATCAGCTTTCAGTTCTTTGAGCACTCTTCACACTTCCGAAGTGGTTGTACTAGCCTACACTCCCACTAACACTGACGTTGGGCACCTTTCTCTCCACGTCAGCACTAGCAAGTGGTGTTAGAGTTCTCAATGTAGGCCAGTCTCCGTGGGGTTAAGTGGGACTACAGTGTGTTTTTTGTTTATTTCCCTGACAATTAGGGAGCCTGGGCATTTTTTCTTATGTTTATTAGCCATTTGAATTTGTTCTTTTGAAAAATGTCTGCCATTTCCTTTGCCCATTTCACAGGGCTGTTTGTTTTACTGTTGTTGATTTTCTGAAGCTCTTTGTAAATCCTGTATGTTAGTCCCCTGTCTGTTGTGTAGTGTGCAAGTATTTTATCCTATTCCGCTGGTTGCTTCTTCACTTTGTTGATCATCTCCTTTGCTGTACAGAAGTTTCTTAGTTTGATGTAGTCCCATTTACTTATTTTAGTTTTGACATCCTATACTTTTGGTGACTTTCCTAATGCCTGTATATTAGAGTGCTTCCTATGTTTTCCTCCAATAGGTGGATCATTTCTAGGTACAGATTTGGATCCTTAATCCATTAAGAACTGATTTTTGCATGATGTGACAGGTGGAGTTCTTCTTACTTCTGCGACCTGCTGGCCAATTGTCCCAGTATCATTTGTTGAGACCAGCCTTTTTCCCTGAATTACTTTCAGTTCTCTTGTTGAAGATTTGTTGGTTGTACATATGTGGGCTTTCTTCTGGAGTTTTTATTCTGTTTTATTGATCATATCAGTTTTTGTACCAATACCACACTGTTTTGATTGCTACTACCCTGTAGTATGTCCTGAGGTCTGGAATTGTGATTCCTCCAGCTTGATTTTTATTCTTCAGGATAGCTTTGCCTATTTGTGCATTTGGAACTCATAAGAGAATTTTGTAGGGTAATAGGGAACAAAATCGATGAAATAGCATCTTCAGGCTTTATGTTTCAGGGTATTAATAGAAAGTAAAAGTGTTCATCAAGATTGTTTTGATTTTTAAAAAAATCTTATTGTTCATTTCCATCTCCAGTTGAATCAGTTACCTTTGGATGGACTTGGTAATGACTCAACCTATAATTAATTAACAATCACAAGTTCGGGATTGCTGGACCCTGCTGTTGCCTCCTATCCCCACTGGAATTAACTGACAATGAGAAAACATTGTTTTCATTGTGGGCAGAAGAGACAACATATTTTATTTAACATTGAAATAAGTTGAATCCAGGCAGCAGTTCAAACCCACAGAAAAATTAAAACTGCACTTTTTCTAAGAAGTTAAGCTGAGAAAGATAAATAGTCGATTTTGTTTTGTGGCTTTTTTCCTTTGTTGATTTTTTTTTATTGCTTTTCATTTAAAGGACTGTATAGTAACTGTATAGTAGAGACTATCACATACAGATGTAAAGATACAATGCAATATGTATCTCTATTTACAAATCAAAGATGGATTTCCAATGAAACTGTTGAATGTATCTTGACAATAGAATGTTGGATTCTCTGCCACTGTCCATGCTTACAATGTCAAGATATACTTATTTGATAGGATGATGGACTTATGACTGATTGTGAAGGACTGTACTATTGTGATGACATGGGAGAAATTAGTGGGGGCTTGGGATCTTGAGAAGGAAGGGAACTGTTTCATGGAATAATAAAATTAATTTTTCAAAGCCATACTTTTTAAAGAAGTTCAGCTGAGGAAGATAAATTGGATAACTCATAGCACTTTATTTTCGTTTATTTTTACAATTGGATAACTCCAAGCTAGGTGGGCCCCATGCCAACGTTAACTCAGCTTCAAGCCTATTTCAAGCATATTTTTAGGACCGTTGGTTTCCATAGAAGTTAGTGATCAGAAGCCTTCACTTGGGACAGAAAAAAAACAAAAAACTTTTTTATTTAATGCTTTGTGATTTTTTTTTTAAGATTTATTTTATTTTTATTGGAAAGTCAGACATACAGAGAGGAGAGACAGAGAGGAAGATCTCCCATCCGATGATTCACTCCCCAAGTGAGTACAACGGCCGATGCTATGCTGATCTGAAGCCAGGATCCAGGAACTTCTTCTGGGTCTCCCACATGGGTGCAGGGTCCCAAGGCCCTGGGCCATCCTCAACTGCTTTCCCAGGCCACAAGCAGGGAGCTGGATTGGACGTGGAGCTGCCAGGATTAGAACCGGCGCCTCTATGGGATCCCAGCAAATTCAAGGCGAGGACTTTAGCCACTAGGCCACACCGCCGGGCCCAAAAAAACAAAAAACTTTAAAGTGACAGTGCCCAAGTATAATTCTTCTGTTAAACCACCCCCGCCCCGCCAACCACCAACTTGATGGAATTAGGTTAGAAGGCATAGGGAAACATAGTAGGTTATGCTTCTGCCTTTGGTGCCAGCATCCCATATTGGCAACAGTTTGAGTCCTGGATGCTCCACTTCCAAATCAGCACCCTGCTAACGCACCTCAGAAAACAGCAAAAGATAGCTCAAGCCCTTTGGTCCTTGTACCCATATGGGACATTTAGAGGAAGCTCCAGGCTCGTGGCTTCAGCAGTTGCAGCCTTTTGGGGAGCAACTCTGCCTTTAAAATAAAATTAATAAATGCTTTTTAAAAAAAAAAAAAAAAAAAAGAAGTAGGCAGGGGCTTTAGTGATTAAATTGTAAGGACTGAGCCCTCTTGTGTGCGACTAATGCCTTTATGAAAGAGAGGCACATGCCCAGACATTGTTGACAAAACAAGAAGAGTGACCTAACCAGATGCTGAGCTTTGCCTTAATCATAGGTACCCCAGCCTCTGAGCTCTGAGACATGAAGTTCTGCTGTTTATAAGCCACCCAGGCTATGGCAGGTGATTACAGCATCCTGGACAAACACTGAATAAATAAGGCATGACTGGTAGTGTTATGGATTCATTACTGGCCAGAAATTAGAAATGACATTTGTAATGTTCTCTACCATGTTGGGTTTTCTTGGTTGTTCATTTTAGGCCTGGCTTTTCCATTGCATCATGATATCTGACACTAAGTTTAATGCTGGAAATCCTGCTTATAGGAACTGAATACCAATTTAATGAGGTCTGATCCCACTATTTAATGAGATCTGATCCCACTATTTCAAACAAGCACAATAATATTGAGGAAAAGCCTTTCCCCTAGTCCATCGTTTTGTGTTTGTGGGGGAAAACAGGGATGTCAGTCCCAGTCTTGTGTCAGGGCATGTAACTGCTACTCTTGTCCTTCTTGCCTTTAAGCTTGTGTCATTCTGGGTGCTGGAGTGATGGCATTCAGCAGTCCCTTCTTGTGGCTTGCGGTCTGCTTGGGAAGAAACATATCTAAAAGTCATAAGAAAGTGTGCCAAGTGCAGAATTCCAGTGTTAGGGGAGAATCTGATAGACTCACCTGGTAAGATTTGGATCATGTCAGTGAGAGTAGAACAGCAGGATGAAAGATGGGGCTGGGTTTGCTGAGGCCAAGGTTGTTTGGAGGATAATGAGTAACAGATATGTAAGGCATCATGGGAACATAATAAGCACTCAATAAATATTAATGTCCTCCATATCCCCCCCTCTTCCCTTGTAATTTCAAGGCCAAGTATGCTAATATAAAAATCCTATAAATCTAGCACAGTAGCAAATTTTAGAAATTGGGTTCTGTTTCCATTTGCTCATATACAAATTAAGCTTTCATGGTCCCTACTCAGAGTGAACTGTGAATTGCCCTTTGTCATGAACCCTGCTGTTAGCGGGCATGTTGAAGGAGTTATATGACCAAGTTTTCAAATTTCCTTACTAGCTGTAAGCTAGAAACTACTTGAGATATAATCAGAGAAAATTGTTTGTGACTAAATTATGGAACACTGAAATTAAGATGGTTGAAGAGAGAAATTTTTACTTTTTCAAATGCATCCTTAAAGGGTGTGGCTACACACATTAGAGGAAGACTGATTTACTGAATTATGAACCACTGAACTTGGTTTTCAAAATCGTACCAGGATGTAACAGTTGGTTGGCCTGTCCTGTATTAGTTGGATTCTAAAGCAGTATGTTTGCATTTATTAAATGAATAAAATTTACTGATACACACATACACAATATTCCTTTCAAATCTTCGCTCAGAAAACCAAATTATAAAAGAAGAAAGGAAAGCAGGAAGGAGAGAGGAAGGGAGAAAACCAAACTATAAGCCAGGAATGTTCAGCTGAAGCTAAAAGTTCTTATATAGCTGATGATTAAATATTTCTGAAATCACCTCTAGTATTTCTTCTCCATTAAGAAATTATTTTGGGGACAAATGGCTCAATGGCTTAATCCTGACCTTGCAAGTGCAGGGACCTCATATGGGTGTCGATTTATGTCCCAGCTGCTCCTCTTCCTGTCCAGCTCCCTGCTCTGGCCTGGGAAAGCAGTAGAGAATGGTCGATGCCTTGGAACCCTGCATCTGCACGAGAGACCCATAGGAGTCTGTTGACTCCTAGATTCAGGTTGGCTCAACTCCAGCCTTTGCAACCATTTTGGAAGTGGATCAGCAGATGGAGAATCCTTCCTCTGTCACTCCTTCTCTCCATAGATCTGACCTGCCTTCCAATAAAAATGGATAAATCTTCTGAAAAAAAAAAAAAAGAAGAAGAAGAAATTTGGAGTGAGGGATATGTCACACAGTGGTTGAGATGCTGTCTGACATGCCAACATCTGCTGGCGTACCTAGGTTTGAGTTCTGGCTAGGTTCCCCATTCCAGCTGCTTGCTAACATGCAGTGTGGGAAGCAGCAGTAGTGGCTCAATGAGTGAATACACAGACACCCAAATATCAGACTTCCCAACTTCCAGCTTCTGCCCGAGTATTGAGAGCTTTTGGGGAGTGAACCAATGGAAGGGAAATCATTCACTCAGTTTGTCTAGCCAGCTATCCATCCTTCCCTGACTCTCTCTGTCTCTATGCTTCTCCCTTTCTAATAAAAAAAAATTTTAAGGAAATTACTTTGGTCTGTACAACCTATTTTCTTGATGAAAGTTACTTTGCCCTCAATGTTTAGACATTTTAATAACCCACAGACCAAGATAGGATTGGTGAGATTAAGATTTCTTAGTTACACCTTTTTTTAAACGTCATGATGTGTGTTTTTGTTTATTTTTCAATGTTTAGAGTTTCTTTTAAGTTTTCTTAAATGTTATTGTAAAGAATTATTACAGTTTGGTCAACGACATGATGTGTGACTTTTTTGGAGGTTTTCACAGACAATAAGGCTTTTGATGCTAACTCATGTTACTTTGACGAAATTTAATTTCATGATGATTTCTGAACTTGTCTGAAATCTGCAGTTCATCTGATATGGAACCTAGAAAAACCCTGTTCTTGCTTTAAGAAAATAAGAAAGAAATAGAGTGGCCATGCAGGCTCCTTTAAAGTGACAGAGGTGAAGCCAGCTCTCCTCACTTCTACCAAGCCTGGCGACAAGCAGGCAGACAAGACCAGCGTTGCTGAAAGGAACTGAGATGTGGCATTAGCGCAAACAGCTTCAGATCACACCAGGCTTGGCGTTGGAACTATGGCATAGGGAGTAAAGCCACCACTGCGATGTCAGAATGCCATGTGGGTGCAGGTTCAAGTCTCACTAGTTTGAGTCTTGGCCAGCTTCCTGTTATTGTACCTAGGAAAGCAGCACATGATGACCGAAGTACTTAGGCCCTTGCACCCACAGGAGAGGCCCTGAAGTTCATGGCTTCAGATCAGTCCACCTCCCACCATTGCCAACACCTAGGGAGTGAACCAGTGGGTGGATGATTTCTCACTGTCTTTTCCTCCCTCTTTGTCTCTATAACTCTGTCTTTCAAATAAACAGATAAATCTTTCATGAAAAGTTTTTCTTAATAGGGCTTGCATTGTGACATTGGGTTAAACCACCTCCTACGATGTCAGAGTCCCATGTGGGTGCCGGTTTGAGTCCTGATTGCCCTACTCCTAATCCAGTTCCCTGCTAATGCACCTGAGAAAGCAGTAGAAGTTGGCTCAGATACTTGGGCCACTGTACCCACAGGAGAGACCCAGAAGAAGCTCCTGTCTCCTGGCTTAAGCCTGGCCCAACCCTAGGCATTGCAGTCATTTCGGGGAATAAGCCAGCAGAGAGCTGATGCCTCTGTCCTTCCCTCTCCCTCTTCTTAACTCTGTTTCTCAAATAAATGAATCTTTCATAAAAAATTCTTAATTTAGCAATATAACTAAGTTGAAGTCAAACTCTTTCCATCCTCTTTTCACCCCAACAGGCGAAGACTGGTAAGCAGAAGCATGACGGAAGCGTGGGTCTGCTCACATACCCAGTCCTTCAGGCAGCTGACATTCTGGTGTACAAGTAAGGAGAGAGCCCACCCCGGTCTCATGGGTGCCCACGGTGACAAGGAGTGTTATCACCTGTCAGCAAGTGTTGGTTTATGGGAAAGGAACACAGAGAGGATAAGGCACATGAATCCATGCATAACCCCCAAGCCTAGGGACTAAATTATAGAAGCATATGTCAGCAAGGCACTAGTACTACTCGTAGTTCATACTTAAATAATACTGAATATGTATTGGAAACTATTGTAAGTGCTTTGTACACATTAATCTTCTCAAGAGTTTATCCAGTGTGTTTATGTGCAGTGATCATCCAGTTTACAGATGAGGATGGTGAGGCTCAAAGTGGTTTGATAATATTCCCAGGTCTTGAAGCTAGCAATGTTTGAAGCCTGGAGTTGAATCCAGGAAGTTTCTGGACAGTCTCTGTTCCTAACTGCTGTGCCAGATATATTTCCCCAGTGAGAATTAAATATTCAGTTCTCTAAAAATATGTATTTCTTGTCGATTTGACTTGATAGTACAGTGCTGTTCAGTAGAACTTGTTATGACTACAAAGATTATTTTTTTTTTTTTAAAGATTTATTTTTTATTATTTTTTCATTGGAAAGGCGGATATACACAGAGGAGAGACAGAGAGGAAGATCTTCCGTCCGATGATTCACTCCCCAAGTGAGCGCAACGGGCCGATACTATGCCGATCCGAAGCCAGGAGCCTCTTCCGGGTCTCCCACATGGGTGCAGGTTCCCAAAGCTTTGGGCTGTCCTCGACTGCTTTCCCAGGCCACAGGCAGGGAGCTGGAAGGGAAGCGGGGCTGCCGGGATTAGAACCGGCGCCCATATGGGATCCCGGGTGTGCAAGGCGAGGACCTTTAACCACTTGCGCCACCGCGCCGGGCCCTACAAAGATTATTTGTGACCACTTTTTCTTATCTTGAAGCCACCAGCCACAAATGGCTGTTGAGTATTTGGACTGCCACTAGTGAGACAAAAATTAAATTTTGAATTTTGTTAAATTCTGTTTAAATAGCCACCTATGGCTATTGTATTACACCCATAAGGTTGAAAGGCTTCTGACTCAATACAGGGTAACCTCACCTTTCCCAGCCCACTCTACTGACAGCCACAGCTGCCACCTGAGGGTCTCTAAAACATACATCAGAGGCTAGCCATCCCCTGCACTTTGTACAGCTGCCAGGACTCTACAAATGTAGGTGACTAAAATAAAATCAGCTTGGTTCACTGCAGCTCTTACTCTGCTGGTGTATGTTTCTTATCTTTTAACAGCCTTCCTTTCAAATTTAGGAATTCCTTAAGTATTTGATAATAGGTATCAGAGACAAGATTCCAATCCAGCTCTGATTTTCAGCCTATACTATTGCTGTATCTGTAATAGAGATTAAAAAGAAAAACTTGGAGATTTTGTTTTATTGTGTTTCAAGTATTTCTGGGTTTTTGAGAAAGTTCATAGACAACATGTCTGTGAACATTTATGTTATGTATAGTTATTTAGGTGGATATAGAACGATAAATAAAACCTTTGTGTCTTTTCTATCAGCAAGTCTCTGGCCTTTTCATACAAGGTTGATTCAAGTCAGTTATAGGTGGACCAGTGACCAAATCTAAGGGGAAAGCATGAAAGAGGAGCCTTCCAGATAAGCCTATAAAGTGTTTGTGTAATTGTTTTGGCAAACCTTCATAAGGAACTCAGGAGCAGAGGACTGACACCACCTTTGGCTTTCTCTCTTCTTCTCACTTCATATATACATTGAGATATAGGACTATGTCTCCCTGTCTCATACACAGACATAATTTTTATTAATAGACAACAAATACTTGTTTAGTGCCTGAGAAAACAGCACACTGCATGACCCTGATGACAAAGGGTGGAAAAAGTTAACATAACTTCAGCACGATGGACCAGACATCACAGTAGATATTGTATATGCCTTAGCTGTTTGGATTCTCAAAGAATTATGAGTTAGATAGGTATATTATTCCCGTTTTCTAAATAAAGTAATGAACTTTCAGAGCAGTGCAACTTCGAGTGTTCAGATAAAGATAAGAATGATTACCTGGGCTAATCAGATTCTCTTTTGCAAGAATTTGACCAAGTGGAAAAATGTGGACAGATGATAAGAAGATAAAGAAATCAGAAGCTGAACTGACATTTTAAAAATAAGGAATCAAAAGCCCCAGGAAGCTGAATAACCAGAGACAACAAACCAAATGAGAAGAACAAAACCCGTGGAAAGTTGAATGGTTGGTCAGAAACTATAGAGAAGTGAGTCACCCTGTTGAGGAGCAGTTCCATTGAAAGTACACGTTGGGGGAGCTGTCTTAAGAGTTTGTGAGTTTGTGAATGCTTTGGAGACTCCTAGTTTTTTTTTAACTACATCCGTACTCTATGTGGCCAACTGGCCTGGATTTTTACAAGATCCCAGTTGGTAGCTAGTCAAACCTCGGCTTCTGCATTCTACTAGCATTTACCCACCACGCAATACTTGAGCAGTTATTTCTCTTCTTTCTTGTTTCCTGCCCCTAGGGAAGAACCTGCAGTAAACTAGAACCCCACTGCAGGGTCAACCTGAAAACTTAGTGTCCAGGCTTCTGGTCCCTAAAAATCAAGAGACTGCCCAAAAGGAAGAAAGTTGTGTTGTGATGCCATTAAAAAACTCTCCAAAGAACAGTGAGAAGTGACCTGTACATTTTTAAGGGCAGAATGCATTTGATGTGACTTACCCTTTCAAAAGAAAACTGATTGAAATACGAGGAATATGCTGTAGGAGTAGCTGGAAGCATTTTAATTAGAGACTGACTCAAGGTGTGGGTTTGGACTTTGGCCCTGACAGTGAAGAGAAGAAGTAGGCCAATGAAAAAGATATGTAGGAGGTGAAACTGTTGAGCCTTCGCAGAGGACTGGCTGTGCGTGAGGGCAAGGGAAGCTGCTTGTGAGGGAGTTTTTGATGTCCTCAATAGCAGCAGTCTGTTCGTCACACTGGATAACTCACTTCTCCTGAGACCCCCTGACTGTTACAGCACAGCATTGATGGGCTGGCAGTCATTGAGATCAGCAGTGCCACAGCCTGTCCAGCTAGAAGAGTGCGTAGCTTTATTCCATTTACCGCTCCTCCTAAGGGTTCACACCTCGGAAAGGTCAGCATTCATTCTATCTCCATCTGCACCCAGCACCAGCCCTTTCCCAATTGAGATTCTTCAGTAAATAATCGCTGAAGTAGAAGGCTTTCCAGAATCCCCAGCAAGCCACCCGCAATAGGGAATTTATCCTTTTTGACAGGAGAAACACCACCAAAATCCCATCCTGGCTAGGCTGTTTGAAGGCAGCAGCACTAAATCTTCACAAACACAGCTGAAAAAAGTCGCAGAAAAAAGAGAGAGAGAAGAGAGGGAGAGCCAATCTGTGAGCACATATACACAGGCAAAGATTATTCATCTGGACACTAATGCTGCCAGAGGGTGGGGTGGATCCCAAGTCAACGTAGACGCAATAAGGAACTAAGCAAAAGAAAAATGGTTTAGTCACCAGAGAAGATCAGACGCATTATTACATGACAGAAGTTATAACAATCAAAATTATGAAAGACTTTTGTTTTATGTTGTGTCTGAGAAGGCACAGTCAGGGTAAGAGGAAAAAATGGAGAAAAAGAGTAGACCTATTAATATGGATATCATTATGTAGGGTATAAATTTTTAAAGCACAGCACTAAATTATTAGGGAAACGAAGGCAAAGGAGAGGGGTTGGGAATGTGAAAAACATAAGCTTCCATAAGTGCGTAGAATCAAAGACAGGCTGCGTTAATGTAAAGTGTAAACTCAATGGATGGGAAGTAAAGGCCAAGATGAATTACAGGGGGGGAGGGGAGAGGAGAGGAGGCTAGAAACAACCAAGCTGAAATCAGATGAAAATGCCAAGTGCAGCAATGGGACCAGGTGAAAAAAATTAAAATTTTTTAATCCTTTCTCAAAAAAGGCAGTTCCCCGCAGAATTGGAAGAAAAAGGCAAGGATCCAACATCAGGCAAAATGCATGCCGCATCATTATGAAAACTAAATGTGTTTTCTGTTTAGTTTGGTTGCTTTATGAATCTGGAACCATTTTGACATGTGGAAATATTCATTCTGATGTGCTTAAAGTGTATTGATTATTGTAATTGTTTTTTCTGTGTTAGTTGCAGTCCATTGTGATTTCCTATGGGCTACTGTAATTGCTTTCTTAACCTGCTCTGTTGGCTAATTTGGCTTGGGAAATCAGAGTGACCTGTGAGATTCAGCCCCACCATACAGTTACCAGACAAGGGTAGCAGAGTCCAGCCAGAAAAGAGGAATTTGCATGGATGAGCCATGTGCAAGGACAGTGAGAGCAGGGCTCTGAGGAGAATGCGGTGAGGAGTGTCTTGTTACTGTTACCGCTCACTGAGCCACTCCATGCAGAAGAGAGCAATGGATGAGCACCGTTTTGTAGAATTTCCTGCATTTATTTATTGACCCAGAAAGAAGAAATAAACACTCCTTGATCCACTACCAGGTCCCTGCATTTGGCTCTTGCATTTATTGTCCTGTCCCTGTTTGCTTTCAATTAACAGAGTTCTCAGAATTCCTGTAATGAGCCAATTTGGGGATTACACAATCAGATCCATGAATTATCAGTTTCAAGTAGGCTTCCACCGTGGCAGAGTTGCTGCTCAGCTCTGTGACTGTCTCTAGTGTTATGCTTCAATATTGGTCTGTATGAGTTCGCTGTGAAAGATGAAAAGGAAATGATTCTATTTGAGAAAAGCCTCTGTGTGTCCTACCCCAGGGTCTCTTACAGTGTAGTACATTCATCATCGTGTAATTGATCTTTTTGAAAAGATGTATTTGTTCGAAAGGCAGAATGACAGAGAGAAAGAGAGAGACAAACTGACAGAAATGTTCCATTCTCCAATTCACTCCCTAAATGAGTATAACAGCTGGGGCTGAGCCAGCAGCCCAGTAACTCCATCCAGGGCTCCCACGTGGGTGTCAGGGACCCAAGTTCTTGAGTTGTCATCCGCTGCCTCCCAGGTACATTAATAGGAAGCTGGAGCAAACCAAAAGCAGCCAGGATAGAACCGGTACTTCGCTATGAGGTACAAACACCGCAAGTGGCCACTTAACATACTGCACCAGTTCCTACACTTGTCTTTCATTTTGTCAGATATCAACCATGAATGTTGTTTGCGTATAAATAAAATACAAATGTTGTGGTACAGTGAGCTGGACTACTACCTGTGATGCTGGCATCCCATATAATGATGCTAGCAGCTAGTTCCAGCTGCTTTGTTTCTGATCCAGCTTCCTGCTAGTGTGCCTGGGAAAGTATTGAAAGATGATACAGGTACTCTCACTTATTGAGAGACCCATGGAATCCCTGGCTCTTGGCTTCATTCTGGCCTTGCTTGGGTTGTTACAGCCATTGAGAGAGTGAACCAGTAGATGGAAGATCTATTTCTGTCACTCTGCCTTTCATATAAGTAAAATAATACCAGTGGCTTGTAGGTATTGAGCTCTAACTATCAAG